GAGAGAGAGAGAGAGAGAGATGGGGGGGGATGGTGTACAGATTATGGGTCTCGCTGCACTACTCTTGAATCTTGAGAAATCAAGAGTTCGGGCCTCGCTGCACTACTCTAGACTCTCGAAATATTTCGAGAGTTCTAGAGTTGTCAGATAGGCGAGACTCTCGAAATACACGACGTCGCTGCACTTACTGTAGAACCCGTTACACTAGCTGCACTCTCGAAACCCCGGGGGTCGTGGGACTCGACACAACGCCAGGCTGGTCTGGCCTTCGGGACAGGAGGTCCACTCTCGGAAAAAAGAGCTGGTCCGCGAGCAACTCCCGAGGAACCTTGCCAATTCGTGTTTAGCAGGCGTTCTTTATAGGGTCTCGCTCCACTAATCTCGACTCACGAAAAATTTCGTGAGTAGAGCTGTCAGAGGTCTAGAACTCATGAAAAAAGTGGCTTCGCTCCACTTACTCTAGACTGAGGAACTCTATAAGCACTCATGAAATTCTGACACCTTTTCTAGAGTAAGTGGAGCGACACCCATCACTCTCGAAAGGCAAAAAAAATAAAAACAAATGACTGCATATGGCCACGTTCTAGAGGTGGATACATTCCGGAGCCGAGTGTGAGTACTCGCTATTTTCCTGAGCCCGTCTACAGCCCTACACGACAGCGCCAGCTCGCTCTGACCGTCGCGGCAAGAGGCACACTCACGGTAGGAGCGGCGGCAGGAGGGAGGACGCTGGAAATCGTGAGCGTCGCAGGCTGTGAACTCTATACTACTCTAGAGTGCCCTTCAAGAGCACCTTCTGACAGCTCTCGAAGGGGTGTTTTCACGAGTTAAACTATAGAGTAATAGTGGAGCGAGACCCATACTGTAGTTACCGAGTGAGGTGTGGCGAGTATAGGACTAGGCGTGAACTGTAGGTGGTACTCCGGAGTCTAAATTCAATCACAAGTGAACTCTGGGTAAGGGCCTCGCCGGAGGGTTCCCCGTGTGCTGTGCGGCGGTGGCCAGGTTTTTCGCGAGGGTACCAGAGCGGCCTCCATGCGGTGTTGCGCCGTAGGGCATAGCCACACCACTCTCGAAATGTGCGAAATGAGAATGGAATTTCCGCTAGAACAAGGCCAGATGCACCCGCCACAGTTCACTCTCATTTCGCACATTTCGAGAGTGGTGTGGCGATGCCCGTACACTCGGTAACCGCACGAGGGTTGTCTTCGGAATTGGGCCCGCCGATGGGACAAGCTAACCGCGTGGGCTCCCGCTGTTCGTGACACACTAGCCCTGACATGTGCTACGGTCCAAAAAAATTGGACGGACTCTGGTTGGACGGACGTGCAGTGTTC